CGCTGACCTTCAAAAGCCTCCATGTCACTCACTGCCCCTCTGAATTCCTCTAGGTTCCAGAGGAGGCCATCGTCGCCCCCTACCCATCATTCCTTTACGCCGTAAACGGTCTACCCTTGGACTTTGGGCTGACTGTGGCTTTTCAAGTCCGAAAGAATACTTATTGGTTCGGGTACGGTGAAGCGAGAAGTTGTTGAGGCCGCAAAGAATGGGCGGGCGGACGCCTTTCAGCGCGCCAGTGCCTCTACGAGGATAGGTAGCGCCTCCTCGATGTGATATACGTATCCAGCCGAATACAGGATAGGCTAGTGAGCACGTGGGTGGGCTGGTCATCCTCCATCCAAATATACACTCCAGTGACTTGCCTCTACTTCAGTTATTGTGACATGCTAGCCTTTCGTGACTCTTTGTTCATCATCTTGTCCATCAGCTCCTCAGCTTGTCCGCATCAGCTCGTTAACGAGGTAAGGCTTTGCCAATAGTCTTTGCCTCCATTCCCTACTTGACTAACTTGCTACTCTTTGCGGCAAGTTCCTGGGAAAATTTCTTGGACTTTCCCGTCTGTGGTGCGAGGTGGGAAGTGAGAGGCGAGAGCAGCGGAGATACACCTATGTGAACATGGTGGTAACAGGGTCTTGATAGACTACCAGGGGGGTTTTGTTAAGGTGTGATCCGTTGGCTTTTTTTTCGTGCTCACCGGTGTAAAAAGGGACTTTGGGTGAGCAAGCTGCATAGACTATTTCTCACCGGATTTACCGCTTGGCGTATAGACTGGGTGAAAATGCTGGTGAAAATGCTAGTGAAAATCGTAATCCGTTTACTTTGTTGAAATTTTCAAGATCATTTGAATTAATCCACTAATTAATTACCCAAACAGAACGTATGGACTACTATAGTCGATGAGGATATTCAATATATACTTTTATATAATTAATAACGTTTACCGATATTATTTTAGTTATAGATTTAGACCGTCTATTGACTGTGGTAAAAAGGGGAAAATTTTTAATATTACTAAGTCGTATGAAACGGTTAATGAATATCGATATAGCTACTTAATTTTTACTATCTTATTTCTTTATTAGACTGCTTAGTTAACCGCCTAATCGATATAGACTCTTAAGAGTCGATTGTATATACTTTTAATACTTCCTAATCCTAATCCTTTACTTAGTCTAATATTATCAGTACTAATTAAATTACTAATTAAATTAGGCTACCTTCTATTTAATGTAAATTTCCTCCCAAGAAGGGTAAAGTTAGTATATTAGAAGTTCGATAATTACCAGCTCAAAAGAAAATTACCCTCGAAATTCTTATTTAAACCGTTATAAGTAGCGTTACCGAGTAGAATAATTTTAAGGAGACTACGTATTAACAAATTATATATTAATGCGCTACTAAGGGTACTACTTTTACTATTAAATAATTATATAATAAATATAGAACCCTTAAAGTAAAGTAGCGGCTCTAAGAATTTATCCGTTCGTAATCGGGGTTCGGGCGTAATAAAATAATAAGTGCGATTACTACGTTAAATAATATTTAGGATAATATAATCGCAATTAATTTTATTCAATATTACTTTTATAAGGGATTTATTAATAAAGGAATATTATAAAAATATTTTAAAACTATTTAATTTAGGTATAATATCCTTCCTTATCTTAATTTTATAGAATATATTTTCGAAAGTAACTATAGCGCTATAGGTTCGAACGTAATTACTTTATTTAATTTATTAATCGATCCCGCCTTATTCGAAGGGGACAAAGAGGAAATAATAATATAATTTAAAGAGGAAGCGGCCGTATAAATCGAAAACGAAAAGGAGGATAACGACGAAGAGGGCTTGCCTATCCCTACTTACACGCGCAATATATAAAAGAAATCATCGGCTTCTTCTAATATTAATCCGAAAAAGAAGAAGAAACTATTTTATAGCGAAATTGTATTCGAAAGTATATTTATATTCGCTATAATTATTAGGTCGCTTAATAGCGGTTCGAAATAGTTTGCGAAAGTAATACAAATTTTTAACAAAGATTAAAATTCGGTCGTATTTAATAATATTACAAAAAAGGCTTAAAAGAGGTAAAAAAAATTTAAGAGGAAGGCTAAGCAATTTTATTATTTAGAATTAGAGAAGAGGAAGCGATATTTTAATAAAATCAAGGAAGAGTTGGAAGGGGATTAATAATTTAGGAAATTTGGGGGTAAAATCTATACCTTCTATAAATACTTCAGAAATCGCTATATTTTAGCAGGTTAGTTAATATATTAAAATTAATTACCTTTTATTTCCTTTAATTAGCGAAATTAGTACGTAGGCTATTCCACTTACCCTACTCTCGTTCTTTTTCATAATGTTTACTATAATATAATAAAGTTTATACTCGTTCGAATCTTAATACAAAAAAAATATTATAATTACTTTAATAAATTATAAATACTAGTAATTTTACATTATTATCAATAAAAATTTCGAAATAAAAATAGTAATACATTAGGGTAAGATTTCTAATAGGGGCGGGCTAGCGGGAACTAATACCTTAATATAACATATCCTATATAAATACCCCTCTAAACTTCCCTTATTCGAATTTTAATAAAGTATTTGATTTTAAACCTATTGGCTATTTTTTATATACTTTACATACAAATCAATAATAATATTAATAATAATATCGATAATAACCGTAGTAATATACTTTTTTAACCTTTTTTTTTTATATTTCTAGAATTTTATTACAAATTGTATACCCTGTACACCCTTCTCCCTTCTACCCTCTTCTCCCCTCCTCTCCCCTCCTCTCCCCTCCTCTTTACTCTATATAACCCTCGATCGCCTCTCTCTCTCTCTATCTCGTTTCTTAATATATACGTAATAATCCCTCTATCTTTACTTCATAATCTTTTCGCAATATTTATATATTGCGCCCTTCTCCCTGCTACGTATCTCCGATTTATTAAAATAGAATTTAACCTATAATTCCTAATTTCCTTCGTTTTCCCCCTCCTTTAATAAAAATTTATTAATATCCTCCTCATCCTTAAAAATAATATTACTATATTCTATTATAAACTTTAGTAGCCCTACAGTAATAGAGATAATTTAAACTTGAATTTTAATAGGGAAGACGGGTTTCGAAATATAAATTCTAAATATTACTTTCAATCGATCGATTACCCTTTCGATAATTACCCGGAATTAATTATACTTTAAATTATATAATTCCTTATATATTACCGGTTTATCGTCTACCCTCCTCGATTTTTATAAATAATATTATACGCTTCGAAATAGAATGAATAGTTTATACGAATAATTATACCCGCCGTCGGCTAAATAAAAATAATTCAGTAGAATTGTAAACCCGTACGATAACGATATATTAAAGATTCGACCGTCGTAAGCAAAGCCCTCGTACCTAAGTAAAATATATATAATATAACCGTCGAAATCGTATACAATTATTATATTTATCGAAACTCCTCCCTTATAGGTTCTCTATATAAACTACTCGTCGGCGCCCACCCTAATAAAAAAGTAGGAATTATCGAAGGTACCTAATATACTTTCAAAATATAAATACGCCTTAAAGTTCATCTCTATTTTGACCGGAATATATCGAGGGGGAAATTTAACTTTTAATTAGGTAAATCTTATATAAACTTTCAATATTTAATAGAAGGTCCTTTTATATAATAAATAAAAATTATTGTACCTATATAAAATTTTTAAATTAATTTATAAACCGTAGTAATACTTCAATTAATAATAAACCCCGATATTTAACGAATTATACCCTAAGAAATAATTATTAAAAAAAGCAAAAGTTTCTCGTCTACCTACATCTTCTTTCCTATACGCAATCCAATATTATATTCTAATTATACCGCTAGCGTAAAAAAAGTTTTTACCCGCATACAAATTACCGACTATAATTTACTCTAATACTTATACAATACGTTTCTAATAACGAACTTCCCTTTTAAGGGATTTAAATTTATAATAAACTTGGGACTAAACTGTATCCTCGCTATTATAATAACTAGAAATAAAATTATATATACCCGTACTTTACGGGCGCAGCGTTATATCGTATCGGGTTAAAATATCTCTAAAGGTAGTACAATACTACAAATCCAATATCAAAGGTACTAACACTACTATATATATTAGGTTTCAAAAGGGGGTAGATTAGGCTCTAAAAGGGGGTAGCAATTCTTAGTATCAAAATTTTCAAAATCATATAATTTATAAAGTATTGAACAACCCTCTAACGCGACAACCGGGTGAGTAAGTAGCTTTGCGCTCTAATTAGTTAGAAGGTCAAAAAGCGGGGATTTTGCGTGCACCGGGTGAGCAAGACGTGCATCGGGTGAGAATGGGTGAGAAAAGGTACATTCCTGTCCAGAAAATACGGGACCACGATGCTCACCGACGTGCTCACCCGGGTGAGCACCCGTAAAAAAAGCAAACGGATCACGCCCTTACTCGCTTGGGGTGGGAGTGGAAGCAAACATGGCGGCTGCGGGGGGGTTGCTAGTTGCAAACCTGGTCAAGCAGGGGACTGTGGGGGACTAGACGCGCGTGTGTTGGGTTGGTTCGAGAGAGAGGAAGAAAACGAAGCAGAACAAAAAAGCAGGGACTCATGTTGTAGCACGTCATGTCCGCCTTTTCGAATCCTGGCAACATGTGCTACTTTTGCGCATCCTGGACCAGATCCGGTGAGGGCCCGGAGGGGTGACAGACTCCTTTGACAGTCAACAAGGGGGTCCAGCGCAGGCTACTAGTGAACCTATTTTCGTAGGCGTCAAACATGCTGATGTTGCTGCTCACTTGAGACGCCAACACCAACGGTTTTGCACCAAATGGCCCCCAAAATAGTCGAGAGAGAAAAAAAAACCCGATGATCCAGGATTCCAGACAAGGTTCCATGTATGATGTATGTCGTCGCCATCTGCATCATGCAGGAACTGGTGTTCCTACTTCTTCAACGTCGTCGGATGCAGTACCATGCACACTTTGTGACGGAAGCAGGTACGCATCCGAAAGCCTCAACAAGATTACACCAGTCATTGGAGCACGAATACCGCCTACACGTTGCAAACACCCCCGTAGCGCACTTGACACTTCCCAAAGTTGCATCTCGCCTCACTGGGGCTCGAGATTCGTGTAACACACTTGTGAAGCCTCATAAAGAACAACCTGGAGGCGGTCTGCAAGTGGCTTATATGTCATCTGGACACCATCATGCCGTCCAGTCTGGTCCGCCTATCCAAGGCAAAACGGCACATTACACTGTCGGCGCGGCAAACCCTCATTTTCTGAAATCCGTTGAGGCTTTCGCCGAGGTGCCTTTTTCGCTGATATTCAACCTAGAAGGTCTGGACCATGGACAATCCTCTAGTCGGCCAAATTCTGCCGTCTCTGAACAAAGCAATCAGCAATATTTCCCGACTCGGTGAAGCTCCGAACACCGGACCTCGGTGTGTTGCCAAGTATGTCGTATATGTACCTCAGGTTATACCAGGTATGTCAACCTCCCTCCGACGGTATGAGGCTGCCTGTTGAGCGAGATGGTGTGCAGGAAGACCGATTAGGAGATGTTCCTGCGCCGGGTGTTTGCACTGGGCGGCTACCAACGGGCGGCCACTGCAGCAGTTCGCATCTGGTGGGAGCAGGTGCATCGCCGTTTTCGTCTCTGGAGGTGAACTCTGCCTTGCTGAAGGCCAACCAGTCATATGGCCGGATGTGTAGGGTAGACGGCACACTCCAGAAGAGGAGAATATACACTAGCGGGTTCTATATGGTGATGAGATTGTCAAATCATTATTCGAGTTGCACGGACGGCGAGTGATGCACCCGTTGGGAGATCTGCGACCAACTCTTCAAAAAAGTTGCTCTTGTCTGACATGAACCTCGAGGGCCGCGGAACAAGCCGAGCAAAAACCACGAAGACTGGAAATACCTTCAGATGTATCAGGGTTTTGCTTGACGCAGGAACCAGGATGGAACAGAAAGGGGGTTCTGACTTACATAGTGGTGCCCCCTGCTGTTGAGATGGGTGCAAGGGCGGTAGCCCAATGGTGATTGAGAAACAATAAACATACCGCCATCTGATGGCAAAAATCGAACCATCGGCCAGGCAAGCATGGAAATTCCCATGTCGTATACAAGGTGTAACATTTGCCATGTGGAGGCCACTTTGGGACCTCGGCCCCTGCGTGATGTGAGTGTGTGAGTGTGTGAGTGTGTGAGTGTGTGTGAGGTGAGTGATGGGAGAGGAGAAAACCCTTGAATACGGGTTGAGTGTTGGTGACAAGGGGCTGAGGTTGGTCAGGTTGGACGAGTGCGAAACAAGAGTACGTGAGTGACCTCCGAACGGTAGCCTGGCCAACTGTGTCTGTGAATAAGAGCAAACACTGGGCTCCAGGTGTGGCTGAGATGGAGGGTAGGCGGTAAATCTCCAAATCAAGCATCCGAATTTCCATGATCTAAACCAGTTATCCATCCAGATGAGGATGGTCACTTGTCAGAACCGGATATCGCTGGTCTAACATGTCGGAAGTAAGGGAATCAGTCAGAGTAGCCGAATCTCGATGTCGTGCAGGTCGTTGAATGATCGTGGGGTGATTTATGAGTTTTGAGGGTTGATAAAAAGGCGGACAGGGAGAGACGGTTTTGATGACTTTGAGACATTGGAGACAGACATTGGACACTTCGGCATACGGAAAAAGGGCGAGCCGTAGTCCCGTAGTCGGCCCTTGACAGACGCAGCTTCCCTCTTGCATTGGTCCGTGAGATGATCAAGAAGTCCGTGCCTTGCAGCGGCATCTTCCTCAAGATCTGCGGTGGTGGATATGATGAGGTGGAGTTCCAATGCTGTCCAGAGTTGATGGCAGACAGTCAACACGGCGAGACGGCGTGCAGGCGACACTGAGATGCAATCCAGACCTGAGGGGTTCAAAGAAAAAAAAAAGATGCTGGTAAACAATGGACAGCGGAGGATGGCGGTCGCGCCCGTGTTTGCCTGAGTGGAACTCTTTGTCCAGTGTCCCGTCTCCTCTGCTAATTTAAAGCCTTTGAGGGTATCGTGGACGAGGGCTGAGCGAGAAATGCAGTCGCAGTGGTGGATGACTGATGCTCCCAGAAGTTGAGGCTTCAAGTTTAGTTGCAGGAGTGAAGCCGCTGGAAGATGCCTGCCCGAACGGAAGCAATGTCGTCGAGGTTGCGAGGCACAAAGAGGCTCCTCTCCACGAATTGCACCTGCCTTGAGGTCAATCCAGGGATCTCATTGGACAAAAGAGCAGTGTTGCCCCACTTGCCTGTCGTGCTAAAGCCAAAGATGGGACAGTGCGACCAACGTCAAAATAAGGTTGTTAGGAAGGTGGGGTCAAAATGTCACCCCGTTGCCCCTGTCAGATTGGGGGATGGTCGTGCTCTCTTTCGTTTAGATCTCCAGCGCGTATCCCGCGCTGCGATTGGCTGGCGATGCTCGTCGACACCTGGCACCATCTCGAGTCCTTCTCACTTCCAGGGCTTCCTTCAACACAATCAACCTTCACCTCACTATCCTACGCTAGACTAGCCTAGTGTCAAGCGTCATTGCCAGTACCGACGACAAGCACCGCGAGATTCGGGTTCGCCGAGTGTCGAATCACAACTGGAGTGTACACCACCAACACTTTCGACCCCAATGTTCATCAGTGGAAGGTCGTTGACGTCGTGGGCGTTTTCTGGTCTAGTTTCCTTCCGGATGGGGAAAGTCCCAACACACTCAACATCGCAGATGCTACCTCCCATATACCAACAACACTCTGTTAGCAATCTGTTATCTCGATGAACCAGCAATCGGTGAACACTGAGCACTGACTTGGAGCCAACGGAAACTCACCTCATGACAAGCGTCGATCCTCATGAGCCGGATCCAAGACTGGTTGAGGCGAGGCTTCTTCATTCCTACAATGCCTTAGCACCCATTCCAAGCAACACCTTTACCGTTCACCGTTGGCTGTTAGGCCTTGGGTGTCTTGGATCTCTCACTGTGGCCCTCATCTCCCCCGGACTCTCCACGGAACTCCCCAGGGTCAACTCGGCTGATCTACACTGCACTGTTGGTTTCTGTCCGATATCCTTCGCGTTGTTTGAGCTCTCTCCACACTTCAGTTTCCAGTCAGTCTTCACCCAAAACATCAACACACAGACACTCAATATTACAGATGCTGCATGTCTTGGTCTACTCGACGATTGCTCAAGACCTTCAGATACACTTTCTTTTAACCCCTGCATCAAGAACCCCCGGATTTGTGCGGATGGTTACTTCGCCATATGCAAGTGTCTTCCAAGTACCGAAAGTACCTCGATGGCCAGTGGCAGGGACCAGGGCTGGCCTCAGAGCTGTCCCAATCCAGCCGTGTACAGTAGCAACCTCAAGTCCTGGCTCTGATCATCTCCTCTTACACGGTCCCTGGTCCAAACAATTGTGGGACTTGATTCAAACCTCCAGCACTCTCTCGGCCAATTTGCCGCGTGGTAGTCCGCCGTCAAATTCTCATCCCCCAGAGGCTAGTGTGAGATGTTAGCCGCTTCTCCGAAATAGGCAATACACTCTAGTCAGGTTCACAGGCCCCATGCCACACATTCCTACCCCTGCGGCTCCTTCTCTCATCCGCCTCCAGGTTTCCCTTTATATTGACGAGACTATTCCCTCCTCCGACACTTGCTCTCCCCAGATGTCTAAGGGGTCAAACATTGTTCTTGACGATCCCCTCCTCTGGATTGCTGTATAACTAAAGGGAATCACCTCCATTGCTTTCCCCTTGTGTGAAGATCCAATCCCATCCTCACCCCTCCTACACTCTTGTTTTGCTTCATTCCTGGGCTATTCTTTGCTACCACGTTACCTTGACAACCAACCTACCAGTCTACATATTCATTATCAACATGGTCACCCACGCACTCTCCATGTGCGACTTGCATCTGGACATGGACCACCACGACGCTGGCTTCCTCGACTACCCGTCTTCTTCTTTCAGTGGTGTTAGCTCTTCCTACTCCTTTGCCTCCAACGGCCCGTTCACGCCATCATCCGGCTCGTCCACGCCCGCTCGCCACAACTCAATGGACTTCGGCCCGTCTTTCGCCCCTCCGGTGGACAATATCTTCACCCCGCCGCCATCTTCCGTGTCCGCCTACTTTCCACTCAACATGAAAGCTGGAGATGGCTCCGACTTTCTCGCAACCGGAATGCCTCTCACACCTTCTCGAAACCAACTCAACAACGGTCACCAAATGTACTACAACGATGTCGGAACCCATCTTACATCACCTCAGCAGATGGACTACTACACATTCCACAACGGCCTGGCTCCTTCACCACTCGCACCCAGCCCTGCCGTACAAGCAATCCAGCACAGCAACACATACGATGCGTGGTCCGTCTGGGAACAAGCGGAAAGTCCCATCTTTGGCAAGTTTCTTTCGCCATCGTCCAACTCTTGCCGGTCAGCTTCAAGAGTAGAACAAGAAGGCGAGATGTCTCCCATGTCGGCTGGTGGACACTCCTATCCTTCGCCCGCAGGGAAGAGACAGCTCTACGTCGAAGAGGCTCGGCAAAAAACCACAGCTCTCCAAATGGTACAACGAGACGTTCCTTTGGCTCCCCGGCCAACCATGCACATGAACGGGGAAGGCAAGCCAGAGCAGGATTCACAAAACACATATGGTCCCGGGTCGATACTCATTGACCCTATCCAGAGGGTTTCTGCTGGGACCAACATTTGCGATTACCCAGGCTGTGGCAAAACATACAGGAGGTCGGAGCATCTCAAGAGGCACAAGACAAAGTAAGCCATCCCACCTCCATATTGTGCAACCAACAAGTCAAGCTAACAGTCAAACAGTGCTCACTCGGAAGTCCCAATATGGTATCCCTGCAGCTTCTGCGACAAGAAGTTCAACCGACCGGACAACAGAAGACAACATCTCGGACTCCACGCCAAGCCACGGCCGACCAAGATGAAGGGCGTCAAATATGCTCCCAAGGCCAAGGCCGCTCTGGAAGAGGAGCTGAAGAACATTACTCGACGCAACAAGAAGCCCAAGGCTGAGCATCACATCTGAGCTTTCTGCATCAACCTATAAGGCGTTTGGATTTATTTTGTGCTGTTGTTTTGCTTTCACTTTTCATGCAACAATTTGTTTCATTATCGCAACATACCCTTTTTTCTATATCACAACCATCGGCGGCGCACTCAACGTGCTATGCTTCCAAAAGGCATTTTGGCTGGCATAGCTTTTTGCTTGTTTTTTTTATCTCTTTTGTTCACTGCAACACTGCATCCCATCATCTGGGTGTTTGGAGGCTTCATACCTTACCTAATGTGTGAGATCAGTCGAGAGAGCGAGAGAGAGCTGGGTCTCCGACACGAAGACCATGTATTAATCACATGTACTGTAACACCTGGTGCAGCCGCGGGCGACCATATATCCGGGGGACAATGGATCTACAAATGGGAGTTGAATGGATGGGAAAGGGCCCTAATGGGAAGGAGGGGAACATTTCGGGCTGGCTCGGCTGGGAGGGGAAGGAAAAGGAAAGGGAAAGTCAACTAACAAAGGAAAAAGCAATTCACAAATGAGTATCAAGAGTAACATATTACCAAGTCAAAACCGATTGGCCAGTTCATTATCTTGCCTTTTTTTTGTTTTTCGAAAGTGATGAAATTGTTGTCCAGATGGTGATACCTTCCTCGTGGTTTATGTCGTACACGAAGTCGTGAGATTGATCATGGTGCGCTGTGTTCCACTCTTTCCCGGAAATCTGGGAGTTGAAACTATCGGGAAGGAACGACCAGCGTCCAACGACCAACGACCAGCGCGACGAGGGGCAACAACCAAAGTTGTCTCAGATTCTGAGCCCTAACTGGACAAGACACCCCGCAATTTTGCATTGCTACTAGCTCAATGTCATCAGTTGAGACAACTTCCGGTTAATTTCTCCCCGAGACATTGATCTTTGGGGAGCGAGATTGCGATTGTTATCCGCTAGTGTACATGCTTGATGTCCCGTTACCTTACTTAACGGGTTTGGACTAGACTCTAGTACATATTTGAACAAGAGAATGTTACCTATGTAAGAGTCGGATGTCTCGCCCGGGTAGTGCTGCCGTTCGTGCTTTTTGGTTTTTGGTTTTTGGTTTTTGGTCAATGTCAATCACGTTACTTTACTCAAAAGCCGTGAGTAACGTGACATGACCTCTCAACCTTTTCTGTTTTCTAGTACCTTAGGTTTCTTTGGTCTGTCTGTCTGCCAGTCTGTTACGTTAATCGCTGCCCCTGTGTACTATCCACAGCTGGCAAGATCATACCTAAGGTAGGTAGTAACAATCTGTACTAGGAAAAGAACGACGGATCGAGGGTACGGGCTATGCTTTACCTAGGTAGTACCTAGTTCTACTGCACTGAGCCACTGAGCCACGACACTGCGGCACGACACTGCGGCACGACACTGCGGCATCTGGGTAGGTAGCTACCTCAGGTAGAGGGAGGTAACAGGGCCCAGCCGGGCAGCTATGTATTCGGAATCGGAACCGATACGTACGTACGTACCTACTTGGAGCGAGGAGCGCAACTGAAGTGTGTGAATGTGATTTCCGGGCGGTGACGCTAAGTCACTTTTCTTTTCCCTCGCCTCTCTAGTGTACCTTGCGATAAGCCCAAACTGAGCAAACTGATAGCGCTGAAGCGCTCCCCAAAGAACTTTTTACACTTTCCGCTTTGGGGAACTAACAAGTAACTTTCCTCCAATTAGCGTTCGATTTTGTTAAGGGTTAAGTGAGTGGCTTCACTCGGCTCCTCGGCTCCTCGGTGACTGACTGACTGACTGACTGACTGACTGACTGACTGGAGGGTAAGTTCAGTTTTCCCCAATCTTGAAGTCATTCACAAAGCGGAAGGAAAACAAAAAGGAGGGGTTCAACCATACCCATCCATACTGTAATGTACCTAACTTTGCTTTTTGGTTCTCTCTTTTCGGTTCTCTCTTCTCGGCGATAGTGAGAAAATAAGAGGGAAGCCGAGCGAAGCTACTGCGGGCAAGAGATTGAGATCTCTCACAAGTCAAAGGGGTCAACTTTGCCAAGCAAAATGGGCTAGACGGGCCCTATAAGGTTCACCCCCCCCTGGAGCGGTGCCCAGACTTCAATTTCTTGTACTACTCGGCGAGCCGGCTTTTGAAGGTGCCAGATCAGATCAGCAATTGCATATTTCTTGTGCAGCGCGGCGGTGGGAATGTGGGAATGAAAGGCCGATGGAAAAGGGTTAGTTCAGTTCAGAATGGTTTCGGGAATGAGAGGTACACAGTAGAGATCTAGGTCTCGTCCGATGGTGATGAGCTGAATTGTTGAAGTGCTGGATTGGTGGCGATAACATGTGAATTGTGAATTTTTTCTTTCCCTTCTAGGTAGTAGGTAGTACACGTCGCAAGAGTTGAATGGAAGGAAGCCTCTTCGGCAACCCCAATTCCGGACTTTGGCAGGGAACAAGTGTTCTGTCAGTAAATGTATGGTTTGCTACTAGTACGGAATTGTTTCTCTCCGATGAGTTTGTTGTAGATGTGAAAAAGCTAGGTCATGCTTCTTCCTACCTTCATCGCGGCGATAAGCTAAAGGACGCAACCTAACCTAATAGGTCAGTTCAACACCAAGCCAATCAATCGTGAACCTGTGATGATGATGGTTCTACATGACCCTTTGCAGCAGAGCAGGTTAACGTACCCTCACTCATCACGAGCCCAATTCCACCACCGGCCATAGGTCGATCCATGGGTAAGTTATCTCTTTACCGCCTTTCTGCGAACTGATCTTTTCAGGCTTTTCAGGTTATCATCTGCAAATGGAAGCCTTACCCAACCAAAACCATCATTTTACATTCCTGAGATGCAGCACTCTGAGGCTCACGATCGCAAACAAATCTTGTCCTACCACATCACCCAACGGGCACTGACTGACTGACAGTTACGGTGTTACGCCATACTTGGCGACGCAGAAAACCTCAACCAAAGACATTCCCGGTTGTTGTGTGGGTACACAAGCAGCAGCTGTCAGAATCGCCTTGAGGATGGATCAGTAGGGCCCGTCGGATGTTGCAGGTACCCGCGACTTTGTCCTGGACCTGCATGCAGTGCCATCATTCATCGTAGTGGGTGGTTGTGCTGGTTGCAACCTTTCTGCTTTTCGCTCTGTGAAATCAGTTCATCACACTCTTGCCCCTCTTTCCAGAAATCTTGGTTGATGGTGGTTAAATGGATGTACCTAATTGTGCCTGGGCTTGCCGGGGGGTAGTGGTCATAGGTACTATGTAGTTGTGATTATAATAGTGGTGTGTACACCACAAACTTGAGAGGTGAGTCAAACCTTCATCGGCCAGACTTGTTCGTCGAGAAAGCCGTCTTTACCGATCTGTATGCCGCATTTCGGATTCAGTTGCGGGAGAGGTAAGTTCATGCAATACTGAAACCTTTCAGATTGCCAACAGAGGATACGAAGCCTCGAATCCAGGGTCTAGTGATCACCTACATGTAGCCTTATGCGTGGGAAATGCTGAACATTCAAGCCCACCGAAAGGGGCATGATGTTATGCATCTGCCCCCTTCTGATACTGCCATCATTGGCATGAGAATGATAACTCTTGGCGCAAACTCGATGGTAGGCAAGATGGTTATCTGACAGGTCGGAAACCAAGATGCCAGTGACAGTCAAGATGCATTTGTGTGCAAGGTTGACAGAAGGTCTCGGTGCATTTGGTCGTCGAGAGGAGGGGAATGCGAATTCCGATACTTTACCAGCGACTGGGATGGGAAGAAGCTGACCAGAGCTGAGCAAGGAGGGGTCCTCTCTCCCCCCGCCCCCCCCCGGATTGTCGTCGTTGCTTCTTCCATCCATCATGTCATCTTTTTTCCACGAAAGTTGATCGCCGATCATACGCATCGTAGACCCCGAATTATTTTTTCTACGTTTTCCTTTTTCGCTGTTGTTAGCTGTTAGCTGCAAGTCGAGAGAGCCAAATGGTAAATCTGATACCAACAGGAGGAAGTGATTTCACCAACAGATGCCGCAGGTGCTATAAGAGGAAGAGCAGGAGCCAACAACTGCAACTCACCGACTTGGCGACAACGAGATAAAGTGTTATTGCTCCGTCTGCACGGCGCCCGGTGAGCTTGTATATGACATCGGCTTCGACAATCGGGCATGGGATGCCGTCGGTTGTACCTAGGTGGTCGATGTGAGCCAACCGACGTCAATCATCCATACATACATCCGGTACCGAATCCTGGGGCAACCGAACGACGACGCCAACATGTTGTGGTACCTCATCTGGCATATCGGGAAGCCTGCGACTGCGCGTTGTAATGCTGCACTGCACGGTGCCGCTGGCCGGTCGAACGTGCGGCGCGGCCGGCTCTTACGACGGTTAGGTAGGTAGGTGAGTTGGTAGCATTTGAGGAAACGAGGATGGAAACGAAGGAACAAACCAACGAGAAAACACCACCAACACGGATTTCGCCTCGAGTAGAGTAGTAATACGGACCGGAAGGCTCATCTATGCCTGCTACGTCGGTGGTTCGCATCGACATTTCGATGATGAGCCTTCTGGTCTGGAACGAGGTCGCACGGCGCTTGGTGCGTTCCAGTGGCTCGGTTCTTGGTTTTTGGTGTATGGATGGAGTGACGAACGGATGGTGACCTCCAGGGATCCAAGGATATCATATCACTTTTGCGATATCGATCACCATCCAGGTTTGTCGTCCACCACCTTCAACATTGACATTGTGGAACATACGAGTGGTCAATAAACCACAAGCCGGACTTGGACATGAAAAGATGGAGGGTGTGACGAGGCGTGCGAGGCTTGAGAGAAGCTGGCAAAAGCTGGTAGCGACAGCCTGTCGAGATGAATTTCTTAAGTGAGGGGTAACACAAACACGGGCACTCCCAGAGCCACACAGTCATGTGTTTTTCGAGTCGGTTGGTTGAGGTTCACGTCGGTTCGGGTATGTGGCCCGAAGTTCAATGTGTGTTGGTGACGGAGGGGAAGTCGGCGTTTCGAAGTGTTAATTGTTAGGGTCTGTTAGGAACCCAACGGACCTAACAGGGTGGATGGAACACTGAGCATTGACCGTGGCTTGTGGCTTGGATTTCTGGGTCGACATAGCCTAGAATGACTTTTTACCCATAGGTAAGTGTGAGAATTTCTCAATCAACTCCGAGATTTGCTTTTGTGTTGACAACTGTGGGAGGAGTGGTGATGATGTTAACAGTAAAGTTTGATGTCGGGTAACAAGCCAAGCAGGCACTGGTGGGGTAGATAGTAACTGTTAGTGTCAGTACACAATCTTCACTGGTTTTCTAACAAGATGGCTGGCTTCCTGCTAGATGCACACACAACTTCGGATGAACTACTTCCCACCTTGGCCATATGGTGCATCGCCTCATTCAACCTTCCCTCACCATCACCACCACCACCAACATCGCCGGCAGTCATCGGCAACTTGACCCATGCTGTCCAGCACTTGACGCCTCACGGAAATGGCTCAATATCTCCTTTTCCGGGTGTCCATCATTCCCGGGACTTGATACTCCCGGGCAGTACAATGAATATCAACACCCCATATCGACGCCATCAACAGTCAATATGCCGGGAACAAGCCTGCCGACATACCAAGAGGCTACCAGGACAGTGGACTGGCTGGAGCTGGCTGGCCCCTCCATCTCGATCCGAGACTATGCCCGACTTTGCCGTGTGTCTAGGCACTTTTGCGATTATTTCCTCCCCAGGCTCTGGACCGATCCGTTTGCCATCTGCTACGCCCTCGAGCCAACAACCAGGCTTGATGGGGAAACTCCGAGAACCGAACTGTTCTTGCGTACCGTTCCTGATACCCGTTTGAGCACCCGTTCCCTGGTTTTCGCGTTCACTCCACGTATCAGGGACTGGCTATTCATGCTCGGCCGTTACCCCGAAACTTACTCACCCTCCTCCTGGTTCGCCAACTTGCGCTGTATGACCCTGATTGATTGTCCTCCCCCAAACGACCACGAGCATATAATCCAATTCAGTGCTAGCCAGTTTCCAACCCGACCGTATGTCGTGGCCGCCGTCAGGTGTTCTCGGCTGCCAGTACAATGGCCTGCCTCAAAACGCTTCCGGGAAGTCGTCTACTTTGATGACTCTCGGACCCACCAGTCTGGTCCAACCCGGCCGCGCTTCCAGGGTATGCACCGCTTACGCATCCTGAGGGCGACAGGCCACAATATGGGAGACTCGGGCGCTGCACAAATCTTCCACGATCTTGGGCGGAGGTTATGGAGTCTTGATCTCTCCAACAACCGCTTGACCAATCGCTTTCTCCAAAACGTCGTCCAGTCCGACAAACTCAGGGGTCGTAGCCAGCTCGGGAACCGTCATGAGGATGGATCATGCATATGCTTTGGCCGCGGCCATCACCACGAACTGGAAGGCTCTTTATGCTCTAGCGGGATGGGTCTCTTCATTCACGAAACACCTTGGACCGAGGACTTGCGCTTATATCATTCCCGGAGGTACCATGAGGACAGCCCCGGCTATGTATTTAGGGCAAACCCAGAGGATGCCAATGCAGAGTCTCGAGAGGTTAGAAAGAGAGCCCTCGATGACTCGCTTGATGCTGTGGTCAAAGCCATTTGCTCGGAGAAAGATGTTTCGTCGATTCATTCTCTCGATATTTGTCAGCTTCCCCTTTTGGGTATCACTCATCTCTACCTCAACCAGAATCCCATGATCACAGCGGAAGGCTTCAAGTTGATTATTGAGTCTGGATTCGAGCAGCTGCAGCGGTTTGAGTGCGACTCAATGCTGTTTATTACGAACGGCGACATGTCTCGATACAACGAGTACTACCACGAGTCCAGGGCCGTACCATCATCCGTATCTGGCTGCAAGAACCAGGCGATATCCGGCATCTTGGGTCTCTCTCATCTGTTTCGCCCTGTCTTTTCAAACCTGCAAATCTTACGTATTCATCACTCTCTTGTCACAAATTTACCCTCGTTGGTGGGATTTGATGATCTATCTGCCATGGAGAAGATATGGTTCGCCGAAACCTTCCTTCTCCCTCGAGCCGATCTAGTCTTTCCCAACCCCTTCTACCCAGACATGAACCCCAGACTGAGGTCCCTGACCTTGACGCACATCCCACGGTACTCTACCGGGCCTCTGATCGAGAGACTCAAGGGATTGTTGAAAGCTGCATGGTTCCAGGAACAGACAATTGCCAAACTGAGGGCAGAGTATCGCCGTGTCCAATCACGCTATCAACCTCCGCTGCTGCCCGGATTGCGCAAGATCATCCTCGAGTTTGACCCCGACCCGCGTGAGAAGCAAGGGCAGGGCCAGACGGGAACTGATGGACTCGAGGGATTTGATGCCGAAGCCTTGCTCAACAGCGGTGCTACTGAGGAGTTTGGCACGTTTGGGGGATTTACTCGCAGCAGCAACAGCTACGGCACAAGCGGTCCATCAACGTCGTCTGCTGTGAGACATGTCAATGCCAACAACAACGGCGTGACAATGTTCCGGCGGCAACAACCGCAAAACAGCTCAGAGTTGGCCCGACTGGCCGCCGAGACACCGTGGGTCCGAGCGGTGCTACAGTCCCGACACCAGCAATGGCCACAGGAAGTTGAACGACGGGCGCATGAGAAGCTTGATTGGAATCAGCCCATTTACGTGACGTCGATCTCGCGGGCGCCTGGGAAGACCAAGGTATTCGTTGGGTATCACCAGGACGGTCACAGCCGACCGGTGTCTATAAACTCAACCAACAATGGTGTATCGTCTGGACTGGCATCATCACCAGTTCAGGACCCGTACCATCCATCGCAATCCCCCTACCATTCACAAGAACAAGCCCGAGAACCACGAACGTCTCCTTCATTGCCAGTATCAACACACTCCTTACCCCCCGAACCACCCGCCTACACGGCTTTACCTACTCCAGGCCCATCCACCCCATTACCACTCCCAGCCTCCACCACGTCCACCACCTCGCCTTCTTCACTACCACCACCACCACCACCACCATCACCACCAGAAACCCCACAACTACTAACCCCAATTCCCCCCTGCTACACCTCCTTCCCCTACTTCCTCTCCCCCGAAGAGAAACAAGCCTCCCTAACCACTTACAACCTTCTCCTCTCACGCGTCCTGTGGTTACATCCAAACAGCGTCCATAAAAAGTTCAGCGACCCTGGCTACAGGCCTGATCCGCCAGCTGGTCCTGCTGGTCCTGCTGGTTTCACTGCTAGTATCAATGCTTTCAGCCGTTTCAACGCTTCCGATGTCTTTGGTGCTTATGATGGTAGTAGTGTTGGTGGTCCTAGTGCTTTTGAGCAGCGATGTAAGGAGGAGCTATTACGAGTCTTGTTTCATCCCATCATGGCTGCGACGCCGAGTATGGTTAGGGCGGGGGTGCCAACGCAGTTGTTGCCTAAGCAGCAGCAGCAGCAGCTGGGGCAGGTGGGGCAAGGCCATGGTCATGGTGTGCGTAGTGAATACTTGGATCATGTACTCTATAATCGACTTCATGATTACGACGGAGAGAGGTTGGCAAGGATACGTCAAGCTCCGGCTGCGGGAGGAGGTCAGCAAGCTGCTGCGGAAGAAGACGAACGGTTAGAAGAGTCGATGGATGAGCAGCTGCTGGAAGAGACACGTCGAGCTGAGAGATTTCAAGCACAAGCTGCGGCGGAAAGTCAAGATGCGGGAGGTCAACAACCCCAAGAAAGAGGAGGACGAGGCCCAGTAACAGTAACAGTAGTAACAGGAGCAGGATGCCATATATTCTGGCAAGCTTGGAAAGCGGGTCTCCTGGGGGATGTCGTCTTTCCGCTTTCTTCTTCTTCTTCTTCTTCTTCTTTCTTCTTCTTCTTCTTCTTCTTCTTCTTCTTCTTCTTCTTCTTCTTCTTCTTCTTCTTCTTCTTCTTCTTCTTCTCTCTCTCAGAATAGGCATGGTGGTGGGCAGTTGGATGGTCGCGGCGGTGGAAGTAAGGACTCCGGGGGTAGAGGTATGTCGAGCGAAAGAAAGGCTGCTGCTGCTGCTGCTGCTGGTGATGATGGTGATGGTGATGGTGAATACAGCAGCAGCGAAGGAAACATTGGAACCAGGGATACCTCCTCTACCTCTATCTCTACCTCCACCTCCACCTCTACAAGTACGACGGAAAGGAGGAGCGCAGCAGCGGCAAGCAAAAGAGACCTCCTGAGAAAAGAGATGCGCCGTCCTACAAAGGAGGAACTAAAGCAGATGAAGGATGTTATTGAGGAGCTTAAGAAGTTTAGGGGGTTGACTGGTGGTGGTGGTTGTGGTAGTGGTGGTGGTAGTGGCCACGAGAGCAAGGCGAAGGGGAAGGGGAAGGGGAAACAAAAGGCCGTGAACGGGGATGGGGATGGGGATGGGGATGGGAATGGTGACGACGAGGGTGAAGAAGGTGAGGAAGATGATGATGATGATGATGACAGCAAATGGGCAGGTAAACATTGGATGGGCGAGTTGAAGGTTATTAGGAAACTACCGGATGGAGGAGGAGGGTTTTAGGAGAGGGACCTCTAGATAGATAGATGTCTGGAGGTTAGTCAGTCATTACGGTAGAGTTACACAAACAATATCGATCGAGATGGAAAGCGGAATTGTCTATAGAGTAGTCTAGAGCTGTAAGCAGTATCTACAGTTCAAGTAGTAGCAGTAGCGAAAACTTTATGAACAGCGAAATTTGAATATATCCCTAAGGTACTGTGTACACACCACATATCATTTATGATCAGTCCAAGTCTATCAGGGGATCTGGCGCTACTGGTGTCCGTCCCCCTGACTGATGTTTGGTAATTCGCAGGTTTGTAGGTTGGAAGTGACACTGACGAGGGGGGAATCAAGCAGGAAGGTCGGCACTGTTTTGTGGGACATGTTTATGGTGGTTGAGCATGAATTAGCAGTTACTATTTGGATACCTGTAGAGTAGGTCCCCCTCTGGTATTGGTGTGTTCTCAGTTACAACTGTTGTTCAAAATGTTATGTGTATATTATGATGCTCACTACTGTAGATCTGGAGGGTGAGAATGCAAGTCACTTTCCAGTGCTTTGCATGATATTGACGGTGGTTTCAGTCGGGCACGTATCGTGGGTTTGCAGAGTTTCTTTTGAGAGATCAGAGTTTGAGTGAGATTTGATCTCTATCAAATGTATCAATTCCGTTGTGGTATGTAGGTAGGCATACCGCCTGCCTAACCTCAGCTATGACTGATCTATAGAATCATAGAAGCAATGAAGCACTAACGCTATTTTTGCAAAACCAGAACCAGAACCGGAACCAGAACCATAAAGATGTTGGATATCTCAACTGAGTAAAAACAAAAAAACCCTAGTGCAACAACACCACCACCACCGGGAATAGCTTATCCTCTCCTTTTCCGCATTTCCTATTTCCTGTTTCCTGTTTCATATTTCCTGTTCCTCGTTTCCTGTTTCCTGGTAATTCCTCCAAAAGCAACCAACCCCATCCAGTTACTGCCAGGGTATAATAAGAACATGCATGGGGGAATAAGATCTAGATGTACACACGCCATCATTCACTTCAGATACCTCCAATTCCAAAGGCAGGGTCACGTCTGTCCTTGTCTCTTTGAGCCTTCGGCTTGAGCTTCAGCTTCAGCTTCTTCTTGAGCTTCAGCTTCAGCTTCTTCTTGAGCTTCAACTTCAGCTTCGGCATGAGGTCCAGCTTGAGCAGCCTGCTCGTCCTGCTGCTGCTGCCGAGCTTTCTTTTCCCGATACCTTCTCTTCCTGGACTCTCGATGAAGCCTTGCTCGTTTTTGCCTCTGTGATTCGGTATGAGGTCCATCTTGAGCAGCCTGCTCGTCCTCCTCCTGCTGCAGCAAAGCTTTGTCTTTCCTCCACCATCGCTTCGCGGCCTCTCGTTTAAGCCTTGCTCGTCTTGCCCTGGGCGATTCGGCTTGAGGCCCAGCTTGAGTAGCCTGCTCATCCTGCTCCTGCTGCTGCTGCTGCTGAGCTTTATTTTCCCGATGCCCTTTCCCTTTAGACTCTCGATTCAGCATTTCCTGTCTTTCCCTTTGTTCTTCCCTGCGATCATCTATCTCAACGGGAATCAGGCCATTCTACATCTCCTGTTGCCCCTGTTGATCCTGTTGCTCAGGCATGATCATCCCCTGCTGCATCGGACCCTGTTGCTGCTGACCCTGTTGCTGCTGGCCTTGTTGCTGCTGGCCTTGTTGCTCCTGGCCTTGTTGCTCCTGGCCTTGTTGCTGCTGACCTTGTTGTTGCTGACCTTGTTGCTGACTTTGTTGCTCTTGGACCGGTTTCTGATCATCTCCTTCCCCGTAGCCATCATCGTCTTCCTTAACATCAACTCCAGGAACGTCAGGAGGAACGTCCTACATCCCCTGCTGATTACCCATCATCCCCTGCTGTTGACCCTGCTGCTGCTGCTGCTGCTGCTGTTGCTGCTGTTGTTGCTGAGCAGCCTGTTGAGCAGCAGCCTGTTGAGCCATCTGCAATTGCATCTGCTGTTGCAACTGCTGAATAGCCATAGGATTCATTTGCCCAGCAGCAGCCATTTGCTGACCCATTTGTTGTGCTGCCATTTGGCCCGCCATACCGTTCATCTGCCCAGCCATACCGTTACCCATCTGTCCCTGCATTCCCTGGCCCATCTGGCCGCCGTTCATTTGCTGAGCCATCTGCTGCATCTGCTGCTGGCTCAACTGACCGTGTCCACCACCCTGTCCTGCCATCTGCGCCTGTGCCTGCGCTTGCTGTTGTGTCTTCAAGAAGTTATGTATCACGATGCTCTTCGCATGCGTCTGACACTGGTTCTTGAACGCTTCCATTTGATCTGGCGGGATGTTGGCCGGCTGACCTCCCCACTTCTCGGCAAACCCAGGCAACCTCTTAGAGTACAGCGAGCTCGTCACATTGTTAATCTGCTGAATCACCGCTGGGTTCATGGAGAGGGCTGCCAGTTGTTGCTGGCTTATTTGCGACATCGGGGGGTTGGGCCGGGGGACGCCGACTTGGCCGGGCATGCCGGGTTGGCCGGGAGTGGAGACACCGGGATGGCCTTGTTGTGCGGCCTGTTGGGCGGCTTGCTGCTGTTGGAGTTGTTGGGCCATTTGTTGCTGTTGTTGCTGTTGCTGTTGTTGTCGCAAGGCCATCTGTTGTTGCACCATGGCTACTTGTTGAGGGTTTAGACCAGCCATATTCATCATTCCCGCTTGACCTGGTTGACCGACCATACCGGCGCGCATCTGTCCTTGCAACTGACCGATGTATTGCTGCTGTTGCTGTTGTTGCATGTTAGCCAGCTGGGCAGAGTACTGTGCAGCGATATCCCGAGTTCCAGGAGCCATCATGTGCGGCTGCTGCTGCTGCTGCTGCTGCTGCTGCTGCTGCTGACGAGCAGCGATCATCTGTTGCTGGGCAATCCGCTGTTGTAGCTGGGCTTGTGTCATCTGCCCGGCCATCATAGGGTTGCCGTGTCCTTGGAGGCCAGCGGCAGCCATCCGTTGCTGCAGGAGCCGTTGTTGTTGAGCAATATATTGAGCGGCTTGTTGAGGATTCAGGCCTTGGGGAACTGGAATACCGCCCATCTGAGGCATTCCCGTTGGGCCGTTCATCAGCATGGCCTGGCCGACTTGCTGGTTCGCCATCATTCCAGGTGGTGGGCTGGCCTGGGACAGGCGTGGTGTCGGGACGACCGAAGGACGGCTCATAGGCGTTGCGTGAACCATGTTAGGGGTAGCGCTGGGCATCCTAGGCGTTCCGGCTGCGTGGCTCTGTTGACTGCCTCTAGCAGACATACTGGCAGCCATTGGGACGGACATGGGACCATGGCTCTGAGCCACGGATGGAGGCCGTGCCGGGCTCCCGCCCATGTTGGAGTTGGAAGCTTGCATGGCCACGCTGTTAACCATGGGTGACGATGCCGTCTGTGGTGTATTTTGCCGAATAATTGGTGACGACACCTGGCCTTGTGATACCTGAGGGAACCTAGCTACTCCATTAGGCATGGTGCTAGCCATGTTAGGACTATTTTGCATAGTAGCAGGCATAGTATGTGGTGTGCCCATCGAAGTCGGCTGGGCCTGTTGCTGCTGCTGTTGGGCTTGCTGTTGGGCCTGCTGCTGAGCCTGAGCCTGGGCTTGGGCCTGAGCTTGGGCCTGAGCTTGAGCTTGAGCCTGGGCTTGAGCTTGAGCCTGGGCTTGCTGCTGAGCTTGTTGCTGAAGCTGCGCCTGTTGCTGCTGTTGGGTTTGAGTCATAGCCATCCTCTTCTGATTTCGCTCCTTCTTGAGACGCTCGATCTCCAACTGCTTCTGTTGAGCGATGAGCAAGGCCTGTTGTTGTTGCTGCTGCTGCTGCTGCTGCTGCTGCTGATTCGCCTGCGCTTGAGCCGCCTCCAACTGTTGCTGCTTCGCTGCCTGAGCGGCTGCCAGCTGCTGCTGCTGCTGCTCCCGTTGCTTCATGGCTAGGATCCGCCGTTGCTCGGCCTCCTGCACTTCCTTCTCAGCTTTCTCCTGTTCCACCCTGGCCTTGATCTCTTCGAGAAGTTGGAACTGATTAAACCGCGGCTCGAACCCTGATCCGGTCGCTTGACCTGTCCCGTCCGACCCATGCCCAGCACCCGGAGCGCCAGCAGCCCTGTTCGACCTGCGCTCGTCGCACGCAAGCATGTACTGCTCCATCTGCCTGGCGTTGGCGTCTTCTTCTGCCAGCTCGGCGTCCGTCTTCTTGCGTCGCTTGGGTTCTGGTGGGGGGTGCGAATGAGCTGGATCTGACGCTATTTGCTGCTCAAGCCTTGCAATGAGCTGTTCTGCGTCCCTTGTCGGTTCCAAGTCGAGAGGTGGTTGGGTGCTTAGCAAGATCTGGGCCTCGGCGGCCACAAGGTTGCTCGGGTCCAACTCAATCTGATCCACCTTTCGTTTCCTACTGGGCGGTCCCATGGGTGTCTGGACTGGCTGCGCAGCGGTGCTGGGAGTTGGCGGAATCCCCATAATCTTGGACATGGGGTTGCTGATGCCCAGTGCCAGATCTACAGCCAGACTCTCTGGCGTGGGGCGTAGCACAACGGTGATCACTTTGCGTTTGCCCACCTCTTGATTACTTTGGCCGTCGGCCTGCCCATTCTGGGCGGGAATATTTTCCTTGTCATTGCCCTTTGCATCTTCCTGCTTGGTGAGTCCGTTGGGCTGGGCGCCCTGGTGCTCCTGGAGGGCTTCCTTTGGGTATGGCGCATACGGCGAGGGAGTAACGTAGGAAGACCACCTGTGGATGGAGTGGTCATTTGAAGCCGGAACCGGCTGTGCTGGGCCCTTGGGCGGAGTGGCTGTCGCATAGTTGTGGACTTCCACGATCAAGCAACCGTCGTAAAAGGAAACGCCCTCTTGGTGGAGGTATGGAAGGAGATCATGAGGGATAGTGCGACTCTTGAGGTGGGGGATGAGGGCCAGGCCAAGGGCTGACTTGTAGCTGGACACGGTATCTTGTTGGTCGAAGCGCCAGTGTGTTTTGTGAAGGTGTATGATCATCGAAGGTCGGTTCCCGGCGTGCTTTTTTAGGAAGTCCCGGTCCGATATTGGGACGTTGGGGACAGACGGTGTCTCGAAGAGGGTAGCGGAAACCGGAGGACGTTGAGCGCTTCCGGGAACGGGGCCATGGCCAGACGGGGCCCGATTACGAGGGCGGTTGGGAGGGGGTGGTCGAGCAGGGGAGCCGTTGGCCATTGTATTTGCGCCGGGGGGATTTGACGGCTGACGGGCGGCAGACGGGGTGCGTTTGGCGGACATTAGAGGGGAGGCGGAGTTCGGCGAGGCTGTATGGATGCCGTTGGTCTGGATGCCGAGGGGAATAGGACGCTTGATCTTGGACGCGACTGGCGGCGGCGGCGGTTGGGGTTGCGACATCTGGGGCGACGCGCTGATGGCAGTAGCGGGGCCCATTGTGCTGGTGTTGGTATCCCGTCTAGTGCCCCAGGGGCGACCTCGTACTCTTTCTTGTTGTACTCTCGTATGCGACCGTGTTTGTGTTTACGTTTGAAGTCGGGTGGGTATCGGATGTTTAAAGGTGACTAAAGAGCCGCTCGCGATGATCTGGATGGAGTATGGAGTCTCTCTCTGTCGGACGTCAGCAGCCGAGCATCTCTGGGCTTGTTTGTCAATGAGGACGTCTCCGGCGGCGGGGATGGTAGCGATTCCAAGTTGTTGTTGACATGTGCAGTAGTGACGGGTGATGATGGATTGTTGAACTGACCGATGGAATTGAAAGAGAAAGACAAGTTCTGATGATGGAAGAAGGCCTGGTCGTCGGTTTGGAAAGTGTTGGTCGCAATGTCGAGGCTTGGCGCTTGCCCCTGTGTGTCACTCAAAGGCCCGGGATACCTTCCTTGTGACGGTTGAGGTAGTGAACAGCGCTAGTGGGTGGTGCTAATAGTGGTAGTAGGTACTGCTGTAGGGCAGATATCACTGTAGTGATACGCTGTAACTGTTGGTGGAATGCCTGTAGCCCACTAACAAAATGTGGGGTCACCTGTCTGCTTTGTTCGAGCACGAGGGAGTTCTCGTCGGCCGAGGTACCTTGGAAATATCGACGACAAAGTGATGATGTTTCTACAAGGAGGTTTCAAAGTCCGTTAAAGAAAGTCCAGAAGGAAAAAGTTGATGATGTGAACTTGTATTACCGAAAGAACATTGGGTAACGGTTCGTGATGCCACCGGTTGGGAGCGAGAAGAAAAGGATGAACAGATGTCGAGCCTCAAGCTAATAAAAGGAGGAAGGGCAGAAGTTATAGTAAGGAACACTTGGAATTTGTAGCCTGTCAGGTGCGAGCCGACCCAGTTGGATGACGAACTTGACGGTTTCCATGATATGCTATGCGAGAAAACTCGACCATAACCCTAACCCCCACCTCCTTTTTGCATGAGCTCTACATATCGCGGAACTGTGAGAACCACCGAGTACATTACGGCCGTTCAGGTACAAATCGTGAAAAACATTAACCTGACAAGTTGTCGTACCTACTTCAGCCCTTTCCCCGACAGCGGGAAAGCAGCCGCAGAAGCCATTCGGGAGCGCTTAGTTTCAGATGTCAACTCCATCCTCTTTGGCGTTTCCTTCTGCGCATACCCGTTGCACATGTTCACTTCACCACCAAGCTATCTGCGAGTCAGCACCTGGAGCAGAAGATCGGTCATCCATATCATCATGTTCTCTATCCGTCCGTAGGTAGGTATCCAAACCAAAGAAACACTTCTGTCGTCAAATAGCAGAGTGGTATACAACAACAACAACAACAACAACAACAACAACAACAACAACAACAACAAAACAAGGATATCATCACTCACTCACCCTTTCCTTCCCCTGTTTCCATCTCCTCCCCTTTTTAGGGGCCCAAGAGTCCAGTTTACTCCTGTCCCTGAACCCTCCTAACCCAATCATCACCCAACTTGCCCGCCCTCACATCAACAACCACCACTCCCCTCCCCCGTCCCACCCGCTCTTCCTTCTGCCACCACTTGGTCTCCTCCTTCTTCTTCTCCTTCTCGCCGTTCTTTTCTGTGTCATCGTCCTCAGAGTCCGAATCAGCAAGGCCACCATCTCCTTGCTCAGCACCAACCACCAACACAATGTCGTGCCTTAACCATGTCTGGAGGGAAGTGATCACGCTGCCGTCCGGTCCGGCCAGAGATTCCTGGAGGTAAAGGATCTCGGGCTGAATATGACGTAGGATGTGGGAGTGGCCGGCGGGGGTGGAGAAGGTCAGGATGTGAGAGGGCTTGGAGACGAGGGTGGTTGCTTGGTTGTAGAGGGAGGTGTAGGCGGAACCGGCACTAGAATAAGGGTTAGTTATGAACCAAACAAAATGGAAATGGAGCAGGAAAAAGACTTACAGAGGGTCCTTGTCCTTGCTCTCGGCGGGTGTCTCGGCTTCAATGTTGGAGAAGGAAGAGCTTAGCGAGGGAGGCTTGGAGGAGTCTTCGGACTTGTCCTTGAGCTGAGGGGCGTAGATGAGGATGTAGAGCTTGGTAAGGGAGAGATCGATGTTACGGGGGATGTGGGAGAGGATGGACTGGAGTGGTATGGTTGTTAGTAACTGGACGATGGTTCTGTTTAGACGAGGACTTACAGCATGTTCATGGTACTCCTCATCACCAGCTTCCACATGGTTATCGGCCGAGACAATAATGGCAACCTTTTTCCGGCGTTGGTTCTTGTTGGAGGCGGCAGTGGTAGTGACAGCGGGAGCGGTAACCGGGGCAGTAATCGTGGTAGGTTGAACAACGGGACTCTCATTTCTGGAAGTAGTAGCATTCTCAACCTGTTTTTTCGTATCCGGGTCGGACCACGTCTCGTCGTCAGCAAACTCGCTCCTCAGGCTGTCTTCCTCGCGGATGGCGGAAAGGGCGGTACCCACAGCTGCGCCCGCTGCAGTCACGCCGGCGGCGACCTGTCGCTTCGCGCCGTTGAAGAAGTCGGCCGGACTCGGGGTGCGGCGGAGGCCCCATCCTCCTTCGGCCTGTGCTTGGGCATTGGGGGAATGGGCTGGCGGCTTCAGACGACCTTGGCCGGAGGCTCCGTAGGGCGGGTTGTCGCCGTAGTCGGCGTTCTCGTAGTCGAGGTCCTGGAGGGTCGAGTTGGTCTCGTGTTCCTCGCTCCGGTCCTTGCGCTGGCTCCAGATCCATGCCGCGACACTGACGGTAGCAACGGCGGCCGTCACAACCAGCGGCACCCAGGTACCTAGAGCGCCATTACGACGTCTGTTGTCGGACATTATAACGATATGTTCTTGTTCTATGTCGAGTTCTAGATGGTCGCTCTCATGGCACTGTCGTGAGCGGTGTCGAGCTGTCGGGTCGTCTTTCGTCTCAACCCGCAGGCGCACTTCCAGTCCAACAAGAAGAAGACGAAGACTGAGCAAGTTTGCGATAGGTGAGGAGAAGTGTATTGTAGGCGCGCAAAGATGGAAATGTTGTGGCTGGTCGCTAGCAGTTACCGAATAGCGGCCCACTGACAGACCATAGGGCGGAGTCTATGCGAGCGGAAGACTGGGGAGAGGTAGGGGTCGTCGACTGGGTTGTTGACTGGGCGAGCTGGGGTCCTGGGGAAGTGGATGCCTCTTCAGCTGCAGAGTCGGAAGGCTGGAGACGTTGAGGGTGTCAAGTTGAAGCCAACGAGGGCAAAGAGCTCAGCTGGAAGAGAGGAGGTCCTCATGACGCCGCGTCTTCAACCGAGGCTGGTGGTTGGTCAGACAAGTCCAAGAGCTGAACATCACTGGACAGTGGACTTTCAGTGGAAGAAGAGAGCTTCCAGTGGCGGGGGTCGTGACAGACCACCAGATCCCATATTCCAAACGCCATGTCCGCCAAGCCGTCACAAGCGCACTTGGCCGCATTCGGACTGGCAGCGAAGATCAGGGCGTGTCTCCAGCGATGTTCTTGTTTGCACGCCCTCCACATTTGTCTGACGGAACTGTAAGAGCGCACAGACCACTCCATCATGCCCCTCCACCAGTGAGAGCTTTCACTTTCATTGAGACTTTGCGATTGTGAGTCAAGAAATCGATATTCGAACAAGACATTCACCACTTTTACGAAAAGTCGACGTTAAAGAAACAACACCCGTACGCGCTCTTATATCACACAGCGCCGTTGTTTTTCCGTCGACCAATATACCCGACACTAGAATACCGGTGTCACCTCTTTTGCGCAAAATAATCCGACATCGACAACCAGTTCCTCTTTTTACGTCTTCAAGATGCCCCACGCTGTAACTATCGCGACTCCGGGCCTCCAAGCCTTGATCCTTTGCGGTCCCGGCAGCTCGTTTCCTACTTTCACCGCCAACCCAGATGCGAACCCCAAGGCTCTCCTACCAATTGCCAACAGGCCCATGGTCTGGTATCCTCTCGACTTTTGCTACCGCGCAGGCATCACAAGTAGGTCATGGTTTTGTCAACGTCTTGGTGTTGAGTGAGATCTGATATCTCCATGTCTTGGCATATTCTCTTGACATATACTAACTCTATCCAGACATCACCCTCATCTGCCCGCCCACGGCCCAAGAAGCCATCCAAACTGCCCTCAACACAAACCCCTTCCTCACCAGCCTACCATACCCCAGGCCCGACCTCCTAGCACCCAAGGACCTCGACCAGAACACCGGTACAGCAGAGATTCTCCGTCTCCCCGAAGTCCAAGCAACAGTAACCGACGACTTCCTCGTTCTCCCCTGCGACTTGGTATGCGAGCTCGGCGCCGACAAGCTCCTCCAAGCATGGATGGTCAAGTCCGCCAGCCTCACAGACCTCCTTGACGACACACGGGCTGAGAATGGTCCTCTCAAGCGCAGCGGCGGTCTCGGTGTATGGTATCAGACCAAGACTGCTACTCCCATCAAGGGCGAGGAGACCGATTTCCTGGCCACCGTTCCTCTACCATCTTCCTCGGTCTCGCCCCCTAAGGGCTCCCTATTCCCCAACATTTCCAAGGTCGCCTACTCAATGCCTACCGATTCGTTGAAGGATCTCCTCGAAGAACAGAAAGGCTTCCCCACGCGCCATGCCCTTCTCAAGAAACACCCCCGCGTGCGCATGCTGACCACTCACCGCGACGCCCACATCTACATCTTCCCCCACTGGATCATGGACTTCGTCAAGGAGAACGACCGCTTGGAGACCATCGGCGAGGACGTCCTAGGCTGGTGGGCCAAAGCCGGCTGGCAAAAGGGACTCTCCACGAAGCTCGGTCTCGACACGATCCTCGGCCAGTCCTCCACCACCGCCCCCAACACCGACGGCAAAACCTCCCCCGTCGGCTCCCACACCCCCAAGGACTCCGCCACCGTCCACCCGCCCACCGGCTCGCAAATCCACGACGCCGTCTCCGCCTCCGGCGCCACCAACCTTGAAGGCCCCGTCCGCCCCGTCATCCGCGCCGGCGACAAGCCCGGACAAGCCAACGAGCAAAACGATAGCACCATCCCGCCCATGCTCGCTTACGTCCACCCTTCCTCCTCCACCGGTTCCACCCCCTTGATCCGCCGCGTCGACACCGCCCAGCTCCTCCTGCAAATCTCCCTGCAACTCGCCAAGCTGCCCTCGATCGAAGAAGTCGGTTCCGCCGAAGCCGCTTCGCCCTTTGCGCACATGCGCAAGGTCGCCTACCCCGAGGGCGTCAAGCCACGCACGACCATCACCAAGCAGGACTCGCTGGTAGCGGACAATGTCACCGTCCAAGAAAAGACGAGCATCAAGGAGTGCGTGATCGGCGCCAACTGCCAGATTGGCGAGGGCGCCAAGTTGTCTCAGTGTCTGCTGATGGACGGCGTGGTGGTGGGCAAGAATTGTAAGCTTACCAAGTGCATCCTTGGTAAGCGCAGCGAGGTCGGGGAGGGGTGCACGTTGACGGAGTGTGAGGTGCAGGAGAATTTGTTGGTTGAGGCTAGGAGTAGGTTTTTCCTTTTTCTTTTCCCCTTTACCCTTTTGTTTTTGACAGGTGCTAACATGTGTGTGTGAAACAGCGGAAACAAAGAACGAGAAATTCATGTCCTCCTCCGGTCTCGAGGCTACCGAGGAGGATCTTGCCGAGGATGATGACGACGAGGATAACGATGGCAACGGCAATGACGACGACGACGAGGATGAGGAGGATGATGAGTCGGCGGAGGAATAGGATATCCTTTCTGCTCCATCGACTCCGAAAAGTCACCGGCACGGGCATCAGTACGGGCAGCAGCAGCAGCAGCAGCACGGGTCGCAGCATGGACCGCAGCAGCAGCACCAGCAACAGCAGCCGCGGCAGCAGACAAGGCCCAGAAAGGGAAGCTGGTTAAGTCGATTCTCGGGGTCAGGAGGAGGAGGGGATGAGTAAGTGCCAAGTGGCATGCATTGCTTGGAATTGGTTAGTTGAGTGGTTGTTTGAGTACACACATACATACCCTTTAAAGGTTCTAGGTTATTCCAAAAGTTTTTCATTTCCTCCTCTGTCCCAGGAGAACTGCCCTAGTGGGCGGCATCGCATGGATTGCTTTTCGTTGCTATCAAAGCCTCTTTGAATCACAGAGTAAGAGAGGGCATTGGCATTGCCTTGCTTTGGTATCGTAAGTCCTACGTTGTCAGATTAAGAGAGGGAGGGCATTGCTGGAGGGGGGCACATGAACCGAGACCGATGAACTCAAAAGAGTTGAGCTATCGTCTTTTTTCTTGCCTTAGGTACACACCACATCCGCTGCCTTATGCTTCGCGAAGCATCAAGTTGAACGTCTCTTTACACAGTCGACATGTGTTTTATGGGCGAGAGAGAGAATCGTGGGAATAATACCAGTTGCGTAGTGCTGAAAGTATGAGTGCACTTCACTTGTTGACTACCTCTATTGTCCAGGCATGTCCCATGAGGAGGACTCCCGTCTGGATTTTGCTCACTAGCTTAGCTTTTGTAAGACAAATGTACATTACCTAGATAGTCTATCAAGATAAGTACCGTACTGTAACTGAGACCTACACATTGCTATCTACCGTATCTTTGCTGGTGTTACCCAACTAGCGATCACCCAACACATGATGTTAGAGCTACCAAGAAGACTCACGTTCTTAGCCTTACCTAATAACCAAACCTACAGAACTCCTCCTTGGCATCTGGCGAGCTCACCGCTCTATCTACTTATGTACACACAGTATATATCACAGGAGGGAGGAGGTTACATCCAGCCAGACACAGGCACCGGCACAGGCACAGGCACAGGCACAGGCACAGGCACAGGCACAGGCACAGGCACAGGCACAGGCACAGGCACAGGCACGAACCCATCAGCCAGTTCCCCTTAAGAAAGAGGGGGGAGGCCTCCCATTTACATATGTAACGCACGTTCGGCATGCATGCAGCCTCACTCATCCTTCCACATTCGCATGATGTTACAAGAACGTCGATGTAGGTACGAAGATTAGGTAATGCACAAGTCGTGGCACCTCTTTCACCTCTTTCACCTCTTTTATTATTCAACCATTCCCATCCCCATCCCCATCCATCCGGAAGTTTTAGTAGTAACACTTCTTCGAGAACTATTTGAAATTTGCCCAGACAAGCATCGCATAGTTTGTCATAGGCATAGGTTGACATCGCTAGACTAGACTAGGCAAGGAGGTGAGAGATGACTGAGCAGCGCTCAACATATACATATACCAATTTGCTACAATAACCGCCGCGGGCGTACAATACAAATACACAAATACCTTATCTATTTGACTGCTGTACCTAGGTAATTTCGAGAAGAAGGGAGGGGAGGGGGATATCATCTGATAGATAGTAGGTAGTGGAGAAGGCAGGGCAGGGCAGGGCAGGGCAGGCACAATGAAGGAAGACGAGACGAAAAGGGGAAAAGAACATGAGTGCATCTCGCGTGTAGGTACGATGGATGCACAACAAAAGCGGGAGGCGGAGGCCCAAGCCCCTAGGTAGCAAGGCTGGCTGGCGACTGAGTTAGTATAGCATCGCTGGCTGAATGGCGTTTCCGATGATGCGATGCATGCCATGTTCAGACCTCGTGGAAGGTGAGGATATGTGTAATCGGTACAATTTGAATGAGGGAGGAGGATGGGGGTTGGTACTACCACCCAGAAAGCACCCAGTGCTCGTTGAGGTGGGTTTGAAATCCCATCCATGGATAAGGATAACGGACGGCATGGCAGTGACGTGACGTGACGTGCTATGTCGCCTAGGTATGGTGTATGATGATCCTGAATGGAGGGAAAATGGGGGAAATCCGTTGCATACCTACCTTAGTTAAAACTTGTAATACGTCGTCGACAGACCTGTAAGAACCCCTTGGAGAGCCACGGAGTCGACTTTGAGGCTTTACTACTTTGTTTACTTCATAGTAGTCTAGTTCTCTTGGATGGCCTAGCCCAACAAGCCCAAGGATGGATGACGGGCCTTGATGGCATTTGATGTTTGGCGTTGGGCGATCATGATCGTCACCAGGGTTTTCACTAATCCTCTTCTTCAAGCTGTGTAGTGTAGTGTAGGTGTGACGCTGGATGACCTCGTCGTTCCACAAAAAACCTTCACAACCTTGACGACCAGTCAAGCCACCCATGTTCCAGGGCTGCAGTTCTTTGTGAAGCAGGGCGTGGTGAAGCCATTGGTAACAGTAACTTTTCCAACTCGGCCTGCTTGGCCCATAAATAACGGTATGCTAAAAATTAGGCAATGCAAATGCCGGACGCTCGCCCGCCGATCTGGATCTTAGTGTATACCTCTGGGATGGTGTCAACAGGCCCACGTGTTTGAGCACCCAGAGGGCCCGATTGATCTAGGGACTGGCCTGGCCAGCCAGCCTTGGGAAGATGTTGATGCCATTTTGGTGAGATGACGGGTGTCTTTCCAAGCTCGCCAAGGAACAGGAACCCCCCAAATTTCAAAGACGAACCGAATCCAACGGAGGCATGTCGTCTGGTGTGGAGACTGGGAAATGTCCCGTAAAATGGGAGTTGCTTATTCCGCTTACAACCTTGGCGTGCACCGCCTCGCTCCCTCCTCGAAAAATAATGGAAAATGAATCATTTATCCTATATAACATAAGGTTTATTAGCTGCGTGCAATAAAACTAAATGTACTACTAGAATATGCGCGCGGTTCATGATACAACACAATTACACTACTATTCTTTTATATACTTTCGTACAACTTTAGTAATAAATAGAAGGTATTTAAACAATATGATTCCTATTATTTACGACGAAATTGCTAGTATTTTAAGATAGTTACCAGTATTATACGAAATTTGGTGTATTGCGGTAGTAGAGGTGCAGCAATTTTACCGCTAGTACGGTTACCTCCTAGAAAATAATTTATATACTAGTATTTCTCCTAATACGTATTCTTCTTATTTACCTTTCTACTTCTTCTTATATAATTACTTTCTACTAGTCACGTTAGTACTACTACTCCCCTTCTTTGAAGTTCGCCGTCGTCGCTATGGATTAAGAATAATAATAATAGTATATCGATGAGGGGATTTAGGAATAGGGAATCGATAACCCTTAATACTAGAACGTTAACCTAATTACGGTAGCTATTCTAGGTACGCTCGTCGGTCTCGTATATATTGACGAAGAGGATATAATTCCCTCCGCCGTAGACGACGCTGCAGTTATTGCTTAGATTATAAATATTAAATTGGAGAATATTACATATTTATTAGGAATCGAGCTTCTAGAGGATTATAGTATTAATTTCCTTATTTCCCTTATTTATAGATATAGATTAACGATTTCTAATTATTCTAGAAATCATACGTCCCTACCGCTTCGCTATACTAGTACCCCTAGTATTAGTACTAGTATAAGGTACCCAGCCTAGCCTAGTTACTATCGATATTAGATAACCTCGAGCCTATATGGGAAAGATTTTTTAAATTAGAAGAGCTTATTATATTCGTATTTTAAGACGAAGCGGATAAATATTAATATTTCGTCGATAATTTTTATTCGCCTAACAGTAAAATACGTCCTCCGGTTAAAAAGAGGGAGTATACCGTATAATATTATCGGTATTTATTTTACGCGCGTAAATTAAAAAAGGATAAGAAAATTAACCTATGAAAGAATTTACGTGCTAAATTTTTTTACGTACTTATCGATTATTTAGTAATTATATTACGCGCTATATACTTTAATAATTATCTTATTTTTTATTTTTTTAATAAGGATAGATAGGTACTTTATTATTATAAAATACATTCATTAAATTAAACGAAGCGAAATTTAACTATTAAAATAGCGGTTAAAAATAATATTGCCCGTAGCTTCCTACTAGCAGTTATTTTTCGTACCTTACTAGATAGTAGTAGCCGAGACGAGAGTGCTTGGAAATGTTTGAAAGTGGCCGGAGGCGGCTACTTAATTAAGTAAAACGTCGTAAACGTACGTATATTATACCGGCTTATAAATTTAAATCTTTATTGCGTAGGAAAGGCTTTTATTATTAAGGCTTAAATCGATTAAATAGTATAGTATATTACGGGCTTGTTATAGGGTTAGCCTATAATATTCTCGTACTGCCTTGACTACCTCGTATGCTATGCCTAAAGCATAATAATCACGTGCAGCTACACGTGTACGCGTGCACGGACTAGCTTACTAGGACTCTCGCCTATATAGCCAGTCCTCTACGCACACCTTCCTTTCCTCTTCTCCGCACAATAACGCATATCTTACCCTATACCTAATAGTACCTCGCTCCGTAATAATTTATTATACTTTATTATTGCGTTACACGCGCTTAAAGAAGAATTTAATTAATTAATTAAATTCTCGACCAATCGTAGATTTCGTACCGCGACCCTTTATAATTTAAGCCCTTATTAATAGGATAAGTATAAAATTCGACCCCAATATCCCTAAATTTAAGTTAAAAGTTAATTAATTAAGTAGTTAATCCTCTTTCCCCTCTTATTTCTAAAATAATAATTATAAAAAATTATTAACATTACAATTAATTTAACGATTAATATCAGACGTTCTAATTATTATAAATAATTTTATTATAATTATTATAATCAAAGCCTTCTAAGTTTCTAACCCTATAAATTAAGCGATTTATAATAATTTCGTAAAAGTATTTACGAATTTTAATAATAATCCCTTTATTAGCTTTCCTTCAGTATTAATTATAGAATACGCCTTCGCTTTCGCGATTGTTTCTGTCTTTTGCGACGTAATTATTACTTTAAATTATTTAATTTACAACAATATTATCAAAGTCCGCGATTACGCCTAAAAAATAGAGGAAGAATTAGAAGATTCCTAAAAGGAGGTCGCTAAATTCAATAGTA